TACATTATAATATTACTTATATTATAATAGTTATATCATGTTATCATCATATATATACAACACGTGTCAACACAATATTATAATTATAAGCACCAGTGAATCTGAGCTTTACGAATTTAAAATCTTAAGTTAATGAGTAAATAAATGTATGTTAACTTTTAAATATTTCAACTATATATATATATATGATATAATATTATGACTATTATGTATTATAACAACAATTTTTTCGAAATTGGATAAGTTTTAAATAATAAGTAGTTGCGACGTCCTCATCGTATCACACACGATCCACGACACATTTTTACAATCTTAAGTACGAATACTTAAACTGTAATGATTGACTAGGTATTATTAATAGTCAATAATGATATTGATATATGACGTGTGATAACAACAATTATGATTGTTATATTTTGTTAATGCCTCACACGGCGAAATCAATCGTATGCCAAACACAGGTACATCGTAATTATCTGAAATAATAGTATTCAGTGATTAGGTAAGGTGCCACCTATTAATACATAATATGAATTGGTACGAGTATAATAAAATGTTTTGTAACTGATAAAATAATAATAATAATTGTAACATTATAATATATTAAGTKTGGGAAAAAGGCATCTACATCGTTAATGGATTATTAGCTTAATAATTATTGTTGTTGACTTAGCAGCTGGCACGCTATCTATCTACGTGTACCTCCTACTCGTATATTTCTCGTAATAAAGGTAGGACCTAATATACTCTTAATATTYTACAGCTCGGCGGTCATAGTATCATACAAGTATTATTTTATCCGAATACCACGTTCATATCTATGTTTACATTATTGTACTGTTAAATTCATTTTTGGGTGTTTTTAAAAACGGAAATAATTTAATGTAAACATAACCGAAAATTTGAAATCGGTYATACAAAATATTATTAAGCTTCAATTCACAATATGTAGGAATATAAATAAAATATGCAGAAATGTGCAGACGTGCAGGTTACGTGTTCCTATAATAAAACTAAATATTAATATGTTTTCATTTTACTTCTTGTACATAGATGTATGGCGTTCATAYTAATAGAATTTTATTATGTTGTAACAGTATATTATGTAWTTGATTTTTCCTAATATTTCCTTTTAAATAAAACGTCCGTTCATGTAAATGCGCAGTGTTCAACCGACAAGTTTTTTTAAGCTTTATAGGTAAATTTAATCGACAGGTTCAAGTAAATAATAATTATTAGAGTTATAAAATAATTCCAAACATCCATAAAGAAAAGCCAGTTTGGATATTATTTAAAGAAATAAGATGTAAGTACCTATAAACACTATATAATTACTTTATATATTAATAATTACAAAGATGAAAATTACGCGTAAAACCCTATATAAACCAATTTTATCATTTTTACGGTGATTTTCCGTGTGAGGCTGTGACTAAATATAGATACGTTTCACAATATAAGAATTTGAACATATTTAAACACGATTGTCAATTGATAAAGTAAAGCGATAGAAATTTTTAAAAATATTCGAARTTATTGACAACTCTACTTGAGATTGATGYAATCGAATTTTCGATTTTATTCTAATTAATCTTAAAAAARTAGAATATGATGAAAAAAGTAGAAAAYATAAAATTATCATACCTACTTCAATRTTCGGAGAAGATAAAATGAAAATGTTTGAAATTTCATCAATCACAACAGCTTACAACTAGTTCTTACAACTCTTATTGCTTAGTGTTATGAAGAAATAAAATATGATTATAAATAACTAGACACACTGAAAGTGTTCGGCCGGCCGTACGAGAATGTGCACGGCGTGGTGTGTCGCATGTTTGATAATACTATATACGGTGTTAAATCTTGAATAATTCACAATTTTTCTCAAAACTAAAAAAAAAATATTAAAAATCAGGAAAATAAAATTTTAAAACGTCAATATTTTCAGAAAAATAAACTCTACAAAATAGCTATAGTGAATTTTTTGTAAACAATTAAATAAACATAGGTGTATATGTTTTAACTTTTTTACCATAACATTGAAAGAAATAATTGTAGTTCTTATTCCTGAGAGTCTTATTATAAAACCAGAATTTCGATATCTCCATTATTTCGTGAGATATCGCAATGGGTAAATCCTCGCGGGACATCCTTGTTGGCATCTAWATACRTTGAAATAAAAATAATTCTATAAATRCCTATATAGTGAATATGTTAGGAAAATATAGAAGTCGCCATTTCAAATATATTTAAAAGGCTCATATTATATTATATAAAAAATCYTTTTTAACTAAATTTTCTATTTTATTCAAATTATTTTAAATTAAAAACWACGTTTACAGTCATTAAATATTTACCTTAAAACGAAATTTCATACATTACACACAMTATTGAAATCTTTGTAAAACTATGTATAATAAAATGATATTATAGTAAGTGAAAGTAATACCTATATTTAATATTTTAATTTTATTGAAATAACAAATACTTATTTATTTAATGATTAAGCAAATAATAAAATTGTCGTATTAATCATCGATTGTTTTTCAAAATATAAAAGTGTTTTTAAGGGGAAAATCATTATGAACTAATTATTGGTAGATAAAAGTATTCGATAAGTGTCATGCAGCTGATGTAGCTGCTACTAAGTATCACATACTGCTGTAGCTACATACGAAGTACCTATTACCATTCTTAGGTATGGATGCTATTGCCATTGTAGAAACCTATTACTTAAAAAAAAAGCTATAAAATATGGCTACAAAAAAATATTTAGGTACAAATTATTTTAAAATATTAAATAATATTAAAATACGTAGATATTTTTTGTTTTAACTAAATAAACATTACATATTAAGGTATAAATGTATTTTGGAGCATCCCAAAAAATCTGTATGAAGTGAGAAAGAATTTGTGTTTCAAAAAATACATATCCGGAATCATTTAGAAATTTACTATTTTGTAAAACGGGAGCCGAATTTGCTTTGTCTAAGTATTTATAAGTTATATACGCCAAAAATCCTTTAACATTTGTCTCATTACACGTAAATTTACAAGTTTTTACAAATGTAACAATTTAATACACACAAATATCTAAATCAATCTAATATTCTAAATGGATGACAAAAATGTATGAAGGGTATTTTACGAATATCCAAAGATGCCAAGTAGATAGTATCATTGTAATGTTAATGTACAATGTACCTATGGTATTAAACTTGCATTTAATGATAAATTAATACAGCGTAACTATAATAATATTATTTGATAATTCTAGCTGCAGTTATTGAAATTCTGACAAATGTAACTTATTTATATCCGATTTTGCACCTATATTATACGAATTGACTCAATGGTATTTGTAAACGAGTTTCTTTGAAGATTTTAAGTACCTATAATCAAAAAATTCACGATTTCTGCACCTAGAGATGCGCAGCTGTAGTTTTTGACCATCAAATCGGTATACAATTTATATTTTATAATATGATAATGATATTGAATTATATTGTGTATGATAGGTGGCTGAAGAAAATATAGCAATAACTATGACGAATTTGAAGACGATTAAAAACGCAATATAATGCACGATATATTATTATTGAATAACGATTTTCTATACAAAGTTATTTAATTGCTATGTGCAATAAATCATATCATATAATGAGCAATAAAATATCTATTTGTACATTAGTACATTATTTTACGCTTGTTTTTTTATAGATAAAATCATATTTCAGTGCAGATTAACAAAAAATCAAACAAAATGTTTAACAAGGGTGTATACAGGCAAATATATGTCACCATAGTCGGTAAGTTTCAATTGTTAATCATATTAGATTATTAAAATTTTAAATTTAACCTTAATGTTATCCCAAATAATATTGTATCATATTGAATAGTAATCCTCATAATAATATTTTGTTATCAATAGTTTTATTACATTTTATGATTACTATTACGTTAACCTTTTCAGTAATAATAATAACAAAAAATGCAAAATAATTAATTTCATTCGTAAAAAAATTGTGAGACTGATTTAGAGGTTCAAGCACATCATCACGTGTTATTTATTTTTGCATATTATCTAAGTGGAAGTCAAATAGTGAAGTTACAAATTAAATTCAAATACGATTTAGAGGTTTAAGCACAACATCACGTGTTAATTATTGTAGTATATTTAAGTGGGAGGCCCATAGTGAAGTTACAGATTAAATTCAAACACAGTATGAAGGTCGCTTTCTGTATTTATTACCTATATTGGCTATATTGCATATTAACCATCCTACCCCGTGACCCGTTATTAATTTTGATGTCTTACCACTCTTACCTAAGGTTTTTGTTTTTTAGTAATCTATTATGGTTATGAAAATTGAATTTAAATTGTATACTATTATTGGTGATAAACTGATAAGAGATAACCATCAATGCATACGCAATGGTGCGTTTAATTTTTTTTTAATTGATATCCATTTACTGCCGTATTTACTATATGCAATGTTCAAAGGAATCTTCCAACACTATAGATTGATTAAAATTTCGTTTTCGAGGAACTAAAAAGTAAATGGTACTATGCTAGTTTATCGAGACTTTTTGATGTTTCATTGTAATATTATTGCATTAATAATAGATAAAATTGTAAATACATTTTGTTGAACATCCATAAATAAAATTTTGCAATCTCTAGTTTAAGATAAAGTCTGTGCTMAAGTTAAAATGGCCGACATTGAATTGAGTCTCACAAATACTTTTGGGTTATCAGAGTTCAATTCAACCAATATTGTTAGGTTGTTTGAGTTGAGTCCGATCAGGGCGATAGGCTAATGGCTATTAGCGTTATCCAGGAGACACCACCTAGTTGTTGGCTGAGTTAATGAGTATAGTCTCCCAAAAATGTGAGTGATTACTTACATTGTTTTTAATAATAATAATTAAATGTGATATAATAATAATATGTTGAAATGCTTTAACACTAATGTTCGACTCTTTCGTGGACAACAGAAAAACACAGGAGGTATGATATTTTAACTACACGGGCTAAATTTAAAGATATTAAGATAATAAGCTAGACTCAATTCAATATCACCGGTTGAAATACTGGTTAGAGACTTAGGATTAGGTACTAAATAATTTCAGAACCATGAGTCCGATAGACTTTGTTGTGGATAACGCATACGCACGTTTGAACACACACAAACTGCTTTTTATTGAAATAGATTATATTTTGATAACGATGATAATGTGATCATTCCCGCAGCGACCATTTCGATATTCATCAGCGGTATGTGGTTGGGATGGCCAAGTTCGGTKGTGGAAAAGTTCGTCAAGCACGAGACGGACTTCAACGCGACCATGGAAGAGCTGTCGTGGATCGTGGCCACGATGGACCTGGGCAACGTGATCAGCCCGCTGGTGGCCGGCCACCTGATGGACTGGATGGGCCGGAAACCCAGCACCGTGATGCTGGGGCCGCTGTTCATCGTCTCGTGGACGCTAACGCTGTTTGTGCCCACTGCCTGGGCGCTGTACACGGCCCGTCTGCTGGCTGGCATGGGCAAGGGCATATCGTACACGGTAGTGCCCGTGTACTTGGGCGAGATAGCGTCGCCTGCCATACGCGGTGCATTGGGAAGCGTGTTCTGCCTTCAGTTGCACTTCGGCTTTCTGCTAGAGGCAGTAATCGGGCCGCTGTTGTCGTACCACGTGCTAAACGCCGTTTCCGCCGTCGTGCCTGTCTTGTTTTTCGTCACTGCTGTTTGGCTGCCCGAATCACCGTACTATCTGCTGAAGCAGGGTCGACGGCCCCAGGCCGCCGTGAGCCTGCAGTGGTTTCGGGGCGGTGGTGACGTGACCCCCGAACTAGATCGGATGGAGGTAAACGTGCGCAAGGAGATGGAGAACCGGTCCACGTTTCRGGAGCTGTTTGCYAGCCGGAAGGACATGCACGCGCTGGCCATCGTGGTGGCCGCGTGTGCCACGCAGCGAGCGGGTGGCATCAGCTGCATAATGGCCTACTCGGCGCTCATACTGCCGGATACGGGGTCGCTGTTGGACAAACACGAATCGGTCATGCTGTTCGCCATCACGCTGGCCGTAGTCAACTTGGTGGCCGTCGCGCTGGTGGACAGAGTGGGCCGGAAACCATTACTACTCCTCTCCGAGGCGGGCATGGCTATAGTGACGATGACGTTCGCCGTGTTCTTTTACTGTTCTCGGGGCGACGGCGGAGAATGGGTCATCCGCGAGTTCGCTTGGCTTCCGTACCTCTGCCACTGGTTGTTCGCCGTCATGTTCGCGGTTGGCGTGGGGTTCGTGCCTGTCGTGTTCCTCGGTGAGATGTTCCCGGTGAACATCAGGTCACACTGCTCGGCGATCGCTTCCATCACCCTCGCATTATGTTCGTTTTTCACCAACAAGATATTCCTGTTCGTGTCTAACCACTACGGGTTCTACGCCATGTTTWTACTGTTCACCATCGTAAATTTCACCGGCACGTTTTACACGTACAAGTACGCCATCGAGACGAAGGGCAAGACGTTACAGGAGATTCAAGAGCAGCTGCACGATACCGTTAGACGTCGACGAGAGAAGACCAATCAAAACGATATTTAAATATTTAGGTATTAAATAATAACAATTTAATGCCAACATTTTTTTGATGATAATTTGATTTAATTAAAAAGATATTATATATATATATATATATTATTAATATAATTAACTATTATTTATAAAGTTAATCAGCCATGTTTTATTTCTTTGATATTTTAAATATTTAATATAGTTGATAGATGAACTAAGATATCACGRAAAGGTGCAATAATATAAATTATCAAATGATTATAATTATGATGAAATTTAAAATGTAATGATTATAAATTAATGCTGATCTTTTTCGGTCGGATTTTGTTCACTCAAGTATACKTAGTCCCTTACCCGTGTTAAACCTTTTAACCAATAAGTAGAGAAAATAAGTGAGGAGCTATAAACTAGGAACCTATATTATTATACAATGTGAATTTTGCTGTCGTTATTCTATTATGGAACGATAACAATGAATAATAAACATGCATGTGACTTGTATTTTTCATTTTTTTTCATTTTCTCATTCCTCTCATCATCTAAAAACTTCTTAAAATGGTTTAAAATACTAACAAAAACAATAAACAAACATACCTAATACATAATACTAAAGCGCATTTCTAAAATAAAGACTGTCAGAATATGACAACTAAATCGTATCAGAAATCGACATTAAATAATATTGTTTTGCTGTCTTATAATTTATATATTATCGCGTTATTTTGAAAGTTGTTGATGTACCAATTCACGGTATTATTCCCATTTTCCTGTCAAAAGAAAACCACAAGGTTATTTCTGACGGATCGCGGATAATTTAAATAATTATTATGATGTTGATATTAGCACTRTCGATAATAACCCTCAASGTTCAATCATTAGTGCGTAATTCGAAAAAAATAATTTCATAGTGTTTAGAATAAGCTCATCATAACAATTATTTAACACCCAATCTTATATATTTGGATACCTTATATTGTGAACATATCAATATATTTTCATATTAAAGGATGTATAATAATGGAAAATAGGTAGCTATTTCACAATAAGTGCATTGTCAAGAATATAACTTTTACCAGTTAGCACAAGAAACCATAAAGTTGTGTATAACTGGAGAAAAAATGTATAGTTATATTACTAAGGGAGTAAGGACTAATGCACTAATGTACCTATTGAAAGTGTGTAATAAATTGATGAAAAACACGAAAAATAATATATATAGATCATTAAATTTAATAACAACCGAAATACCTTATTGAACAATGACATAAACTCTTTGTCGTAATATTTACGAAGAAATCGATACAACAATAATTATTATAATATAATATATATATAATTAACAACAGATAATAATATTATGTACTAAGATTTGTAGAACAAAAATAAATTAAACGGGTGCATTTAATCATATTTAAATGGAACACAAAAAAGGAAAAACACGATAGAGACTTACAATGAATCGATATCGTTATTATTATTATCATTATTACGTTACAATATAATATATTATATATATATTACTCGCATTACGCATAATAATTACATCACTTGAACATTAAGTAACGCGTTGATTTTCTCACATGAAAACCACCACTTGTAACTTTAAGTATTTATACTATTTTATATGGTTATGGAATTAGAAGTTTCTTGAAAAATCACAACATGAAATATTATAACAATTTGGCACATATTTGAAAGTTTAATTTAACTGCAGATGGTTATAAAATGGCGGTCACGCACACATGCACTCTCACACACACACATCACAAACTCTTCGAGTTAGAGCATGAGAACAAATTTTGAAATCACAGTATCAATAATAAATAAAAGTTTTGACAGCGACTGAGTGAAAAAAAAAACTCCGTTCGCATAAATATTATCATATCGTTCGATTTTAGACGGCACGATTGCATGAAAACATAATCGATTGCATTTCAGTGATCGGAACACATCATATATACGCATACGCGATGCATTCACATAATAATATTATGTTTTTAAGCGTCCATTTTGTTTCATTTAAGTCTATTTATACGATATTATAATAAGAACAACAACAATAATAATAATAATAATAATAATAATAATAATAATAATAATAATAATAATAATAATAATAATGATAATAATAATAATAATGAAATATTATAATATAATACAATTTAAGCCTTTAAAACAGAGATCAAACTCCACCGACGATATGTTAGTGTAAGAAAATTCGTTAAACATATTTTATTTTTTCTTGAAACATGTTATTATAATAATAAATATAGGTAACAATGATTTATATATTATATTTATCCTTTAAAACCATGTGTTCTAATCAATCAGTACACATATTTATGTTTGTAGGTATGTCGTACCGCGTCTATAGGTGATTGTCATTTATGAGAAAAATAAATATTTATATAATGTAATATTATACATTTTTTATGGCAATTGAACGTGTTACATAGTTTAAACTTATTATTATTGTTACACCTATAGTACAGAAAATAAATATTTAAATAACAAAATAAGAAAAAAATTACAACAACAAACTAACGAATATACATTAAAATCCTCGAATCAAGTACATATATAGTTAAAATACAATAATATAATATATTAAAAACCTGGTATTTGTACATTACATACATATTGTAATATATAAAATACATTATTATATATATATATATATATAATACGATGGCGAGACATAGTATATAGAAAAAGAAGAGTAAATATGAAAGAAACTCGTATCACACAAATAAATTGTCATATAATCATTTTATTAGTTACGTACCTATAGTTAATGAGAAAAATTTGGCAATTGGGAAAAAAACAGGGCATAGGTACGTCATTTAATGGTACTACTTAAAGTTTAGAAAAATAAATGTTTCTCCTTCTCGACAWCGCTCGATTATTTGGATTTGGGTGTTGTTTATAATCATTTATTTCGTGTTTATCAAGAAAAACGAAACCCACTAAACTTTTGGGCAACCCACCAACGAATGACTGAGAACGAATAAACATAAATAATAATCAAACGCATCTCCTTAAATATAAGTRGATGTTAGCACACTGTTTGTTTTCCATTTCAGGCACACGCACAATATATACAAAATGCATTTACATCGAAAAATTTTGATTTTTATGTTTTCGAAAAACCTTAAGAGTAAAATTACCCATTTCAAAATCGATAGAGAATAATATTTTTGACGGGATKACATATCGATTTGTTTAAGTATTGCATGTCTCAAAACAATTTAAACATAATTTAATTTTACAAAAAATTATTCGTGTTTAAAAGTCGAATACTTAGTCAAATAAAAATAAAATGTAAATCCAATATGTCATACTCTCAAAAATATTATCGTTTATAATATATTTGCAATAGGTTATTTTATTCAAAGGTTATTCAAAAATCGTAAAAAAGGGGTTTTCGGTAAAAACGTTTTATCTATATTTCACGAGAGGGAAAATAAATATTGCGCTGACATCCTCATTTAAAGTAATATTATTATATAAGTGGTAATTTTCAAAATAAAATATATATATATATATTATATCTTTAACGATTCAACACAACGTACGTATAGGTTTTATAGGTAACTAAATATTATAGAAATTGGAAAAAAAACACACACACATTCACGCATGTGCGCGCACACACTCACACAGATTCGGAAATTTTATCAAAACCAATCGAACAGTGTAGGCATGCGATTCGAGTTGGAAATAAACATATTTTTGATATTAATTGTCTGAGCAAAAACAGCAAAAATGTTACTATAACGGATTGACGACGAATGAAATATAATCGAAGTCAGGGGGCGCATATTATAGTATTCTATTGTGTTCTAAATATGATAAATTGTTCTAAAGTCTAAAATATATTTTGATTGTTCAGTTCCATAATTTTTTATTTTCGTATACCTATATTTGTCTAATCATCYGGTTTTTGACGTCGTGGGCGGTTAAGTATAATCTAACGCTTTGAAAATTTATCACGAAAAACTGATTATAATAACAGTACTACCTATACCTATACCTAGGTACAAATTATAAAAATCACACAAATTCGTGTCTATATTATATTCGCTCGTACGTGTTGTTTCTATTTGTTTGCTTCCGAATCACCAAACGTACTTACGATGTTTTTACAAAAACAGATATCATAATAACCGTGTCTGTAAAAAAAGAAAAATAAAYGAACAGAAAAAAATTCTACGAATAGGGTAACAATGCCAATGTGGCAAAATTAATATTGTTAGCGTAGGTACGACGCATTTTAATAAATCTATATYGTCGCTATTGCAGTGCCGGTGGTTTTTTCCCAACGTCTGGAAGACAAAATTACGAAAAAATTCGAAGAAAAAAAATTAAGGCGACAAAAATTGTATAAGTATGACACGGCGATGAAGTCATCATGTCGTTAGTCGTTGAACATGTACACCAAGTGATGACTAACTAAATAGCACGAAATGAATACCGTGAACACATTCGATTTAAATAACGCATAAAAATTTGAAGCAGCTGATAGCGATGGCGCAGTATAGAGTCAAATGGGCCAAGCGGAAATGTATGTAGGTATTAGSTACCTAGGTACTACCTACCTATCTACTCGATGTGCATAAGTAAACTGAGCGGGACGGCCCGCCGGAAGGACATTATATAATAATAATAATAATAATAATAATAATAAAAATGATGATGATGATGTATTGTATTCGGCGATCGCGTGCAAAAGACTTGCTCGTCACTGTGAATATAATAAGATTCCTTCCGAGGAGACAGGGGCGGCGGCGGTTGCGAGAAAACAGTTGCGACCGCGGTAGGGTGATGTGATTGTCGTCAGAGACGAGAAGACAGCTGATCCTCCCTCTCCGTCTGCACCACCCGCAGTGACTCGTTGCTAATAATTGTTTAGGCGTTCGTCACCGTACGATAATAATGATTACATCAGAGGTAATATCGCCGGGTAACGATAATATTGAAGACGATTATTAATTATTGCGATTTATTATTATTATTATCATGCTGAACTGTCGCACTCGCTCGCCGCCGTCGCCTGCGGGCGGGGGTCGGTCGCATCGGTTGTTCACTTGAAGCACGTAGTCTGATTCCTCTTGGCGCTGAACCGCCGTCATTGGCTGCTTCCGCCGTGGTGCGGTGAGTTAGACAGCGTCGTGATGCTGAGCCGGGACGGTCGGGGTTCGATCTCCAAGGACCTGGTGTACAGCTCGTCCTCGTTCAAGAGCAGCGACGTATCCAACAGGTAGTTGGCCACCCGAGGGTGGAAGTCGATCTTGTACGGAGTCTGCTGAAACCGGCGGATTTCCTGTACCACGTGCGCGATCTGAACGACAAAATCGAAACAATTAATATAATATTATGATAATGTATGTGTATGAAAAAAGAGTAATCRAGAAACAGCGCGGACAGATATTATTTAGTCACCTACGTCATAGACACGTGTGGTTCGTATCTTAATATTTTTACTAATACTATAATAGCAAGGTATTATTCCTTATTCTGCTCTTCGTATTATTTTTTATCGAATTATGCGACTTTCTTCCCTTGTTAGAGACACTACATTTTAGCTGAGTTGTATAAAGTAAAACCTACAATACAACGACAGTAAATTTCCCAGTGTTCTTGGGTTTTATCACCTGATAAATTAATTGTATTTMTCAAAGCTAATACATGTGTAGGCTTTGAAATTGTGCATAGAATTTTTTTCCTAATAATTGACACAATCGAATAAATTATTATTATTTGATGAACTGTACTCGCCATGCGTAATTTTGAAAAGTTAAGTAAACCGTCGTCTGCCAAACTGGGAGTTCCTTCTTCTAAAAACGATAAATCACTTAGGTACATCCCTAAGTACGGAATACACGGTGGATCGCATCTATGCAGAGCTTCACGAAGGTTTCTGAATCTTCCGTCAGACGAGACGATTATCTGAAGTTTTTGTACTGACAGTTTTGTCTAAAAACAAAATAAGCTGTATAGACTACATAATTAAAAAAAAAATCATTTAAAATTTGTAATTTTATTAAATTAAATTAAATTGATAAAGTATAATATTAAATATCAAATATCAATCTTATTGGATTACTTTTTTTTGTGCAATTAAATGATATGAATATATTTGTTAAAGTCAAAATATGAACTAATAGTTTTAACATATTTTATAAATGTTATTCATAAAATAAAACGCTTGTATCGTCTTCATAATATTTTATCAATGGCATAAACATAGCAACTCACAGCTTTTGAAACTTTCTCCCATGTTTTCTTCAATCTGAACACCGAACTATTGGTAAAAGCCGAACATATTTGTAGGACTCCGTTAAAATTATGYARACACCTAGATATGTCGGCCACTGCAGCCCACTTTTCTATTGCTATCACCCTTGAAGCCACGTTGTTCTTACGCATTATTTCCGAAGCGACAAGCTGTGATAACTCGTTAAATCTCTTGGTCATCAAAATAATGTGGGGTGCTTTTATGTTTTTGTCATCTTTCATCCAAGCTCGGCCAAAAAATTCCCTGAAAAATACGCATAGATTGTTGCATAATATTTTATCATCATTATTATTTTTTTTTTTTTTGTGCCAGACATTGAGAATTTTTGTTAACATTTAAATTATGAACCTGGGCTGTTTAATGCAAAATTCTAGAAGTTCAAAATTATTTTTATTCAATCAAACTGAAAAAAAATTTATAAAAAAAAAAATGATTATGATTGTTTTAATTCTTATTATTTATCAGTGTTTATCAACCTAAGGGGGGCATATTTCTTAGARAGGCATGAAAATGTTTTAACGTGATATGCATAAAGGTATCCTATATTAAACATACATYAATCTTATATTCGYCTCATAAAATAGACAGCAATATGAAAGGGAACATTGAGTATGAATCATACAAGGTTGAGAATCCTTGATTTAATTATCATAGATAATCTTAAGTATTTTTCGCAAAAAAATTCATAAGTAGCATAATTATTATACCTATATGTTTATAATTGTAATACCTTTTTATTAAAAGAACCCTGGCACCAACAATTAAACATTTTTCTTCTTACATATAAAAAATTGTCAATCTMTTAGATACCTATTGAAATCAACARAAGCTAAAAAAAATACCCAGAGGCTAATTATGATTAYCGTTATCGTCTAAAACAAACGTGATATATTTTTAAATTATGACAAGTATGAAAAATAATTTTTTATACATCAAATTTATTATATTATGCATATTTGTGATGTGTGTACCTACTATAAAATCTACGAGTTAAGAGTTTTGTAAAACAAATGTTGTTATCAACCTTAATTTCACTGCGAAGATTAAGGATATTGAATTTAAAACATTATAAGTAGTATCATTATTAATTACCTATTGTTTTTTTATAATGTGCGATAGACAGATGATTTACAACTATTATAACTGTACATGTAATATTTTATGACTTCAGACTSTTCATTATTCATAATACAAATGGAAATTTGTTCGCTCTGATTATAATAGTGCAATACAAAATTGTGTGTAGTTCATTTTTATAATATTATTATTTTATATCAATTTATTAACACCAGTGGTATAGATTATACGAGKACACAASTGTTTGTTAAACCAATGTTAAAAATCAATAGATACACCACGTGTCAGAAATAGATATTTGTTTGTAAATACAATTTGAAAAATAATAATATCGTATTTTCTTCYCAATATTTACAAACGGATATCGTTGTGTACATAGGTTGTAACCTTATAACTTATAAGGTATCTATAATGTCTAAGACAGCTCAAAAATGACAAATGTGACAAATTATTGATTATTGATATTTGTATTTTAATTTTTCAAGTGTACCYACAAATTATTTAAAGTTGAATGTATCATTTAAAACCTATAAAAATTATTATTCTGAATATAATTATAATATTTTTGTAAATTTTTTATTCACTAATATCAAAATTTATTTGTAAATAAGTAGTGTATCTACCGAATGTAGGAAAAAAAGCCACGGGAAAAAAGCCAAATTACAATTATTAAACATATAAAATTAAAATTAAAGTATTAAATTAGGTAGGTATTATTTAAAAATTATTTATACATAATTGGTCAAATATATAAATAATAAAATTTAAAGTATTATTCAAAATTTTTAAACATTGATCATATTGCATACATAATACATATATATATATATATATAATTATTAATACACAGGGTATATGTTAATTAGTTTAAAATTTTTAACACAGTTGGTCTACTGTATTGTCCGTATTCATATTATATAAAAATAAAATTGTTAATATTATAATATTAATAAATTATAAGATTAGGTCATTATTTATTATACAAGTAACACAACATCACGTTTAAGTAGGTACAAACTACAAAGTCAAAACATTTTTCACTAATATTGTAATGTCAATTTTCGAGTAGGTAATAAAAGTATATAAGTATAAAAGTATAATATATAGGTCAATAAAAACGTATTGTGTGTGCTATTGCAGTTAAAAATTCTGGTAAGCTTTTATTTCCTTCTTTGATTTCCAAACAAAGATTTTTAATAAGTTTTGGTTTTTTTCATATAGATAAGTAGTATAAGTATGCAATATGAACTATATGCTACCTTGAAATAAATTAATTTATGTATATTTTTAATTTACAATTTTTGCTTAATAAAATCAATACATTCATTGCTGTTTAGAATCTAAAATATATTCATTACTATGGAATAATAAATAATAATATATAACCTGTGTATTAAWAATTAAATGCATATATATGCATGACCAATAATGTGTAAACAATTTTTAAATAATACCTAATTTAATACTTTAATTTTAATGGTTATATATTTAATTATTGTAATTTGGCTTTTTTTTCCGTGGCTTATTTTTCCCGTGGATTTTTTCCCTGGATTATTTTTCCCGTGGCTTTTTTTCCCTGGATTTTTTTTCTGACTACCGTATCTACCTGTGTAACGTAATAATATAATGATTAATAAATACACTTTTGAATGTTAGGCCAAAAAAATAACTATATTTAATTATAATCATGCACAGTGTCTCAACTAGAGGAAGTTTTAATGTTTAACCCCCCACCCCTCCTTTACATTTTTTACCCTAATAAATCTATTATAATATATACACGATAACTGTAAAAAACTTGGTTTAATTTAGACTTAAGTAATACCCACGGCCTCACCAATTTCATAATCTTAGCTACGTAATTGATCATTRTGCATCAATTATGCATCTACAATGCTATAAACAAACGAATTTTGATGTTCTTGTTTTTTGACAACATCTAAAAATTCTTATTATGTTTAATAACTTTCGTTCAAATTATTTTAAATCACAAAATTTGTAAACAGACTCTTTTTTTAATCTGTTAACCACAATTCAAAATATATTAATTTGTGAAATTACAATTATAATACTTAAGACTCTCCCAAAATAATAATGRCACWATGACAGTTAAAATAAAGTTGCGAAATGTAAAACATACGACAATAGCTATTTAAAAATTATAGTATTAAATATCTTTGGATTCATTATTTCTCCACACCCCGTTTTAGTCATCTTAAAGACAAAGGTAGGAAGAGATCTATATGCCATCGGATTAATAAAGCGTAATACCCAACAATATTCTCCTTTGCTTGATGTCTGCGATTCTTAAACATCTTTTTRATTCGTTCACTGTTCAATTAGGTACGGTGTTGTTATCAGACACCCACATCTGGCAAAATACCAACTTTTACTATAGCGTGTGCAAATAATTTCCTAGTCTATGCTACTTTTGTTCTTTAACTACCTGATCTTCAATAATGGTTATACCTATTTATGTAAGGCTTTAAACATTCAATAACTACATTTTTGCCGTTTCATTGTTGACCAGATTTTTATCAAAGATTTACTTAATAGATTATTAGACGCAACCAAAATACTATCAAATATCCTTTTTATAACACTTGTTCTACTGTATTATGTGGCCATAACAGTCCTCATGTTCCGATTATTCCAAATGACACTAATCCTTTTAATATTTATTTTGATATTTTTATATATAAACACTTAAACCYGGTTTATTGTTATYTTATATAGTAGTGTCTCAGGTGTAAATTTTGTAAATAAATAAATAACTTATTTCTTTCAGAAATTAGCAAATCAGACATTCATATGTTATCATATCAGTTTGCAGTTGAATTTTTCAAAAATAGAGTCGATAAATAATTACCTTTYAAATTATGTATTAAGATTTTAATCGTGGTGCTATGCGGCTAAATTATATTRTGGTTTTTTAACAGCCAAACTAATTAAAACATTAAAAAACTACTGTTGACAATATTATACAATTTAAGTGGTAATAAGGTTAAAACAACATATTTAAAAATAAAAATATTGAAATATCATGTTACGTAAAGCTCTAGAAGCATACATATATAATATATTTTGTAACATCTTATCCGTGTGTATTGTGTGTAATTTAAACAGTAAAGTTTGGCTACAAAAAATGTAATTCGTGAAGTGGTTTTGCTATAAGAAACRACTTATGAGTAGGTATTCTTACCTACCTATATAAAATATAGAAACAATAAATGTTACGTTAATATTGTGTTAAAAAGATTGTACTCACTGGCTTTGTATTCTTATAAATATTTGATGATCAATATAAGTCATTTGTTCAGCAATTTCTAATGCAGATAATGTGTCTATATTTTCAGAACTAGACATCTGAAAATAACAATAATTATAGTTTATAGATGCATAATAATTAATTATTATAYATAAATCTATAATTTAAACGTTTTCAAATTGGTTTATAGTCTGGACTTTGAAACAGTATTTTTAGTAAATATTATATAAAACTATAGCTAACCCTATGCACTTCGTTGCCCGTTAAATATATTAATCAATCTTGGTTTAATTCGTTATATAATATTTAGTGAAATGATGAAATATTTTCATACACGTTATATGTAATGTATAAATTATTTTTTATYCGACTTTTGTTCATCATAGCTTAAAAAYATCTGCACTAGGGTTGTCTAAAGTCTGCCACAAAAGTTTTATGRTGATTGTATGARTAGTTTAGAAATACACGAAGAAGAAGTAAACTTACGTACATTCGCTTTTATATATAGGTATATAAATAAGTCTTTAAATTTGCAATTAAATATTTTAGAAAAAATATCATTGACAATAGTTAGTACTTATATTGATTTTATGACGTAAAATTAAGTATATAAATGTAGGTATACTTTGTACTGTGTATAACAGTAGCATAATTTATAGTGTAGATGTACGAGTATAAAATTAATTAGTTATTCACAGTAAAATTTTTTGCACAAACAACTATAGTTTTTTATACAAACTTGTTAGGTTTAATATGAATTATAAATAGTTTTTGAAAAATCTAAATATTTTGCTGTCATTTTTGAAAACAAAAAAATAACAATTGTATAAATTATTATTAACATACCTGAGATGGAGTCAATAGCAAGTTAAGGTCGACAGAAGGTTTTTTTGTTTCGTCCATTGTAAGCAATCTRAGTAATTGTCCAGCTATTTTGTGCTCAGCCGGTAAAAGATTGGGACTAAAGAGTATGTCTTCCAAAAAGTCTATAGTCATGTTCTTAAGACGTGTTTCATTTTCAAAATCCTAAAAATGATGTTAATTTTATTAGTAAGTATTTATTGTGCTTAAATTTGTCATAGGGTACTTGTGGGTGTTTTGATATCCAATGTTTTAAAACATTTAACACCCGCATCGTAGCTGCCGTGGACATAACAGATTCTTTTCTTTTTCGTTCTACTGAACAACATCTTTGATCGTGTAATGGAGAGAGTTCTCGGGGGTTACTCGAAGCTGACGTTGCGATAGCAAATGCAGCAGCAGCAGTGGATGTGCTGCTCCTTTGAATAAAAAAAATACACGTGTGTTATTGTTATTTTTAATATAGTAAAACTTTACTTGTTCGTCTAGAAACACTTGTGTTGAACTTTTAATTAATACTGAATTGGAAATGTTAATGTTTATAGACGCTGAAGAACATTATTTTGATCGGGATGTTGTTTTAAGAAAAAAAAAATAATAATAATAAAAAGAAGAGTTTACTGATTGAAATGTGCATATGACTCTATTGMGAGGCATAAGGATAGAATCGATTCAATATGATACTTGAATGAGTAACACGTGCATGGAAACATTCCCAGGAGTCGCAGGTGTTTTCTATTTTGTCAGCAACAAATTCAAACTATTTATACGGTAATAATATTTTTACATTCTTTAATAGTTAAACTCTTTAAAACTAAATGGTTTTGGTGGCTGTGGGACCAATTGGGATAACTAAGAATATTATTAGCTCCAGAACTTTAAATATATTATCACTACTAAGGTGTGTGGATCAAACATTTTATCTAACTGCTAGTCAGCGTCCATGCATATGTTATTTTCCTTTTTTAATCATTCTAAAATACCGGAAGACCTGTTATAAATACTATTTGGTTCATTTTGTGCTAAAACCAAATGTTCTGTACATTGTTGGAGAGTACTAAGTATTATAACAAYATTAGCTTTTAAAGTTGTCAAAGAGCAGCCATATAGTATATGTAGTCTGTAAGTGATAGGTTCATGCAGAAATATGAAATCAAAAATAAAACTGAATAAAAACCCCTTTAGCTATGCCGATTTTCAAATATCAGACCTCTCACAATGTGCATATCCATAGCACTTACCCAAACTCCGGTCTTCCAGTTCTGAACACAAAAATAAAACAAAACACGTGTAAACATAATATGAGAACCGTCTTACTACTGAGGGTTTGTATACATGTTTTTAGCGCAGGACCTATTTTATTTTTAGTCAATTTTCTAAAGTTCCTAAGTGATAATTTGGTCCCACGCTTTTYACAATAACAAATAAACGAAGATATGAGTTGAATATAAACTTAAGTTTTACCTTCTTTTTGATTGTCTCGATGACGTAATTACAACACCGACTCGACTAGACAGTGGAGGGCTATCGTGTTGCATGCTAGCTCTCTGTGATATRCTTCCACTGTAACAGCCATCAGCATCACCAGCGCATGCAAATGATTTTCTTCTAGAGAAATACTACAGAAATCCAACTATTATGTTCAGTTTCGTTTTAAGAATGTACCAGCAATGAATAATACCTGTGCAATGCTAGAGTTTGCAAGTGAAGCTGATCTTGATGATGATGCACTATGCAAGTTACTGAGCCACCCGTTTTCATCAGTGCCACCCATATCGTCCTCGCAAACGCCAAAACTCTTTTTCCTTATGGTTGGAGTACAATCATGATTRAACCAACTCCTCCTACGTGGTTGTGGAGTGGAAAAATGCTTTTCAGAATGAAATCTGTAAAWMTATGTATTATACTTTTGTTTACTTCAAGTAATATAATATTACTTTTCTACGAGTTCTTTAGCTGCATCTGATATTATGGACCCAAATTTAATCGCATGTCCATGGTGAATGGGGAAACCTTTTGAAGGCGATTGTATTTTACGTTCTGGTGGAGATACTTTTGGCAAACTACTGATTTTATTTTCATTAACACTTTTCTCACAGTTAGAAGTCGTAGCTACTAAGGTCGAACTACTATTATTGCTACATGGAGATGTTGCAACTACTGTTGGTTGGTTATCTAAAAAAAWGCAAACATTTAGAGACAGAAAAACTACTACATGCTTAACTGAATGCTAACCTCCAGTCAGAGTCTCATTACTAGATGATGAAGTTGCTTTAACCATAGTAGGAGGGGCTAAATGACAATTGTCACCTGTGTCTTCGATTAGTATGCTGACTTTTCGTCCCGGGGAGGATTGCTGGTATAAACTAGTCGTTGAATTGTATTCTTCAGACACTTTAATTTTATTTTTTCTTTCCTCTTCTTCAACTATATTGTACCATTAAAAAAATATTTATATTTGTATTAGAAATACCACTAATACTATTACTTTTTATTAAAACTTACGTTTTCGAAAACTATATTTTCTTCCCTTCGGACTATGTTGATAATCCACGCTGGAACTTCTATCTCGGTCACTGATCTCTGATCCGTAGCCTGTAAATTACATCAAAATATATGTTAAACACGTAAGTACCATAGAACGCTCCAGTGAGCGTTTTTAATAGAATGGATACCGGATACAGAACTGGCGCCACTATTCTTTCGGGTTGATGAAATGACGCTGGGTCTTCTGTCTCTATCCCCTGTGGTGAGATGATGATTGTTGTGCAATTCACTGCGATCTAATGACCTAAAAGTTATAATAAAACAAAATAATCATAATCGATTTTCACTAAGCAATATGGTAATTTATTAACTTACGTGTTATTTATAGGTTGTCCGCTATTTTCATATGCATMTACATCATTGTTATAAAACACCTTTTTTAACGCTTCCAAAATAGTAACTCCATCAGTAAATACTCTGTACGTAAGAAGAAATGTATTCAGAAAATCTATTGATAAAAATCTTAAATCCACAAGTCTAGATATCAGTTTTTCTTTTGTAGCATGGTGAATACGCGGAATCTAAATWTAAGAGGTAATTTTAAATTAAACAAAATTATTATGTTTAAAATAAACATTTGACGTACCCTACAGGAATTGTAGTATTTGCTAAATTTGATATCCTTGTCATCTTTAAAAAGCTTTGGATCACGCATCGAATTTGGCATTGTCACAGAAGATGTATCTGACATTGAATTCCGAAGCATTGCATCAAATCTTAAGTTTTCAATACACTAATTTTCGTAAAATAAATTACATTGAAATTAAAATTTTTATTACTATTTGTTTGTGTGTTGYATATATTAAGATTGATTGTACTTACTTGACTAATATCACTGACCCACGCAGTTTTTTCTTGTAAAGAGGGTGCATACAAATGAACTGCAATAGGCGAAGACGATTTACAATCAACACAAAGTTGAAAATCATAATTTTGTGGTTTTGGACTAGGACTTGGACTTGGACTAGATGAACATTTTAAACCTTCACAATCGCTATTCTCAACATCACTTGAATGACTGGTGCCCGCTGAATCGTCAGCTTTTAGAAAAAAAGAAACAGTCATAAATGTTTTTGATTTAACCGTAACTTTAAATACCTTCGTTGTTTCCATCTGGAATTTCCAGGTCTCCTGGATTGTTATTGTCGTCCTCTTTATCATTAGGGTCTTCAATTAAACGGCAGTCTGCCAAAGATATTTTTCCGACTTCAGGTGCCAAATGTAATTTTCCACTAGTAGTCCTAAAATAAATGTAAATATTCAAATATWRYAWGTATTCTAATTCCATACACTTATAATTTATATGCTATAGTAATATCTAAATACTTGCCTAGTTGTGATTATCATGTGGTTCGTAAATAGAAAGCATTGTCTTATTGCTTCTTTTTCAGTTTTGAAATGGGGTATTCTGCTTTTTTTTCTAGCTATTGGCATTTGTACCAGAGTACCCTGTCTGACAAATATTTGATTGACATCCAGTAGAATATCACAGCCTTCGATAATCATTCGTTCGATTGAAAGGTTTTTTCGCAAATTTTCAGTTTCACTAACTTCGTCATGAATTTGTCTGCTTAAATCTTC